CAGCGTGAGTTTAAATCACTGGGTTTGGGACTTGAACTGTGGCCGACTACCTGGGACTCCAGCGACATAGCCACTATGCCAACTCTGGTCCCGGAAGTCATGTGTGTTTCAGCAAAATACACCAGGCACTAAAGGACAAACATCACACTGCTCACTTTCACGAGGCTCCCAGGACGGTCACCTCCTGTACACAAGAGCACAGTACAGGCTGCGTGTCCCGAGGAACATTTCCCTGCACGAACGCGCTATCTTGGGGATGAGACCCAAGCCTAAGCAGAGAGTTACCCTGTACCTGACGCTGTGTCCGGCGTACGCTCTGCACACACAGCCAAAGGCAGCGTGGTGTGGCGGCGTTAACTGCCACGTGGTGTACAAGGTCAGGTGTGGACCTGGCCACTTTCGACTTCGTTTCGGTGCTCAAAGGTTTCGGGCCTGGGAACATTTTGCGTTTCAGATTTCCCTAGGAGGGATGCTCAACCTCTAGTGATTTCCAGGGCTACGGGAGCACAGGCTGGGCACTGCTGCTTGGCACTCTGAGCCCCGAGAGGCCTGAATTCCTGAGTTCAGCATCCGGGCCACCCCAGAGGAGGCCAGTGTGATGGCGCACGCTTGTGGCCTCCACTACTCAGGAAGATGAGGCGGAGAGGTCACAACACAGCCACACCCTGAATTGCTTTTTTATTTTTTAAGAGAGATTTTTGCTATAGGGTGTATGCATTGCCAGAGACAGAGAGGAAGAGACAGAAAGCGAGACATCACACACACCCCCATCCCCGGAGTATGGCTACACTCCAGTCCATTCTCCTCTCAGGATCTTGAGCACACACGCACATGTGCCCGGTGTGTTTTAATTCGCCAGGACCAGGACTCGAACAGCATCAAGTACATGGGAGTCCAGTGACATAACTCTTATGCCATCTGCCGGTCCCAGCACCCTGAATTTTAATTCAACAAATGGAGGATTGATCTCACAAAAGACATGAAACACAGCTGCAGCTTCCTGGGATTGTGGTCATTCTGCTGACAGAGCCACCACCCAAGGCCAGGTGGTGTCCTCTGGCGGGTGCTGAGAAGCCCCTGTGCTTGTCAAGGCTCTGACTGGAAGGAAGCAGGAGCTTGGGCTTCCTGGGGCAGAAGGTGGGTCCGAGCCCCCTGCTGGTGGCCTAGGGTGACTCAGAAGGAAATTCACTGGTTAGCTGCCTGCTGGTCATAGGGGGTTGTAGGAGGCCCACAGGCCAGCAGAGGCTCGGTAGTCTCTGCTGACTGAGGGGGTTGATGCAGGACCAGGCTCACTGTTTACCTGAGGCCCAGCGCTCCCTGATGGCCATCAGGAGCAGTGCAGGGAGAGCCTCACCAACGAGCTGAGACAGAGCACCCCCTGCTGGCTGTAGGAGTTGATGCTCAACAAGGCCCACTTACCAGCACAGGCCAGACACCGCCTCTAGGCTGTCCTCAGTGATGCTTTGCAGAAAGTGATCAAACACAGAAACACAGAGGTCCGGATCTTCTATGAGTGCTTTAGATGGTACTGCATCTACTGTCAAGGGACAAAAGCTCACTGCTCCCAAGTGGAACTCCATGTCCCAGGGAGCTGTGGGCACGCTAGTGGGGCACCCCAAGGTGTTGGCGACGTGTGAAGTATGGTCTTACTGGGTTCACTTTTACAAAATATATATTTTTAAATTATGAAAGCAATGTTTGTGGTATCCAAACAACAGAAACAAAAATTAATCTTCCCCTGAAGTCTACCTTCTATACAGTGAAGAAACTTCCTGCAAGTTGTGCGTTTTATGGACAAAGCATCCTTTTATTTCTGAGCTGTATTTTCTCCTTGCCCTCAAGTTTGTATGAGACAGGAACACCAATTACCTCACACAGATAAGAAGAGATCTCAAACAACAGGGACCGATCGTCTCTATTTACAGCAAAGTTTCCTTTACATCAAAATAATGTTTTTGTTTCAAATATCCAGAGTAACTCTTGAGACACACGTCCAGGTCAGAGAGAACTTTATGATTTGTTTTTATTCTATCTTTGAAGTCTTTATTCAATTTTAAAGGCAAGTCTTCAGATAATTCACAGATAAGAAATGACATGGACGTTGGCATCTCTCAAATGGGTTAAGAGTCCTGTTCCAAGAAACTGCAAGAAATTATCTTCTAACAAAGCTGTGATTATTAGCACTTATCTAGATCCGTGAGTCCTAAATTGCACTGTGCAGTACATCTTTATGGAAGCCTCGAGGGCAGTGGTCCCCAGCCTTCCAGGCACCAGGGACTGGTTTAGTGGAAGACAATTTTTCCGTGGATTGGGTGGGTGGGGTGATGGTTTAGGGGTGACCCAAATGCATGCATTTATCATGCATTTCATTTCCATTATTACACTGTAATCTATAATGAAATCATTATGCAACTCAGCATACAGAACCAGTGGGAGACCTGAACTTGTTTTCCTGCGACTAGACAGTCCCCTCCAGGGTTCCTATGAGAGTGTAACGTCACCCTGATCTGACAGAGGCGGCACTCAGGCAGTACGGGGAGTGCTGGGGAGTGGCTGTAAATCCGGAAGAGCCCCACCAGAGGAAGCCTGCTGCTCACCTCCTGCAGTGTGGGCTGGTTCCCAACAGACCTCGGTCCAGTCTCTCTCTTACCGGTTGGGGACGCCTGCTCTAAGAAATACATACCCTAGGTCCCCACTCCAAAACTGCCTTGGGATCTGTATTTTACATGGTCCTCAGGTGATTGGGACCAGTGGACAGTGACTTCAGGGACAAAGACTTCCTACATAGCTGGCTCAGGCCCCCTCTCGCCCCAGTCTGCATTGGGCAGCACAAAGGGCCTTTCCCTCCCCAACCACAACACTGCAGCTCTCCTCTCCCCTCCTCGAGGGCTGAGTCAGAGTCCGCTTCTGGAAGAGTCACTCCCAGCCCAGCAGCCAACACATCACCTGGGGACAGACCAGAAATGCATACTGCCAGACCTGCTGATTAAAACCTCAGGAAGGGGCATCCGTGTCACGTGTGTTTTATCATGCCCTCCAGGTGCTCCCCAGGCAACCAAAGTTGGGGATACCGGATGAGAGAGCCTCACGCATTCAGGAGTGAGCAATAAAGCGAGCCGTGACCACACATAAGGTAGAACCAAGTTTATTAATGACAGCCTTTATTACAACCACTCTCAAGTGTAAAAAATAAAAGTGATTAATCAAGATTTAAAACTCAATTGGACTTGCTGTTTGGCCTTTCACTGGATGTGCCAAAGGGTGGGGATCCTGCCTGACTCCAAACCCACTGGGCAGATGGAGTTCCCTGGAGCATGAGGTAACCAAAAGGAGGGGCCACTGGAGAGCCTGGGTGTCCTCCACGCTGGCGGGACGTTTCAAAATGGCAACCGTGGTGGGGCGGGGAGTAGGAGAATTTTATAGCCAGAATATGGAGGGGACATCTCTACCGACAGAGACGCACACGCGCACATGCAGAGTCACACGCACCCCCAAACCGTGGAGACGAGATTTTAGAAGAGTTTCTGTCCTTTCTCTGAGACTTATCCATTTGTGATGTGACACGGGGCTGAGACGTGGGGCCTCTCTCAGGTGTCACAGAGTACACTACCTGGCCGCCCGGTTGTGTGTGGGCAAACGTGTCAGCGTACAATATGCCCGTGTGTCCCAGCAGGCCACAGTCTAACGTCTGCACCCCAAGACATGACCTCTGGTGGCTACCAGTTAGATTAAAATCGGGGAGGGGGCACAAAACGTGTCACTCCCACCTGGAGTGGGGCAGCGGTGGCAGCACCTGGGTGTGGTGTCCCACCTGGTGTCCCACAATGCTGCCCTGGCTCAGTCACTGCCCCTGAAGCATTTATGCTTTGTCACCATCCTGGCAGTTGGGCTTCATAAGAGAACAAAAAGGCGTCTGGCCACGCACTGGTTTCTTCTTTAATGAAAGCAAACTGAGACCGTAAGGAAGAAAACTCAGATGCTCCTTGGTTGTGTCAACACTGAAACTGGGCTTACTTTCACTCAAAAAGGAAGACGGGGAGGGTGCAGGAGGGGCCCCAGCATGGACTCTGGAGGTGACCACGGAGTCCCTGGCAGGATCTGCGAGGCCGCAGCAGCCTCTTCCCAACCGGGCCTGGTGCCCGGGCATGCCACGACCTCCCAAGGCCACAAACCCATGGACAAACACGGACCAAATAACGTTTTTAAATATCTGTAGGAAAGACGGCAGGTGAGGGAGATGAAGATTCAGATTCACAGGTCATGCAGCCTAAGAGTATGCAAAAAATTAATATTTGAGCGGAATAAGAAAGCACTTTAAAATTGAGGAACTGTATCTTAGCTCTCACCTCTGGAAGACAAAAAAAAAACAACAAACAAAACCACCCAGGAAAATTCAGAGTTTCCGAAGAGTCCAACAACGAATCTCTGGGTCGTGTGTAGGGAGGGGGGGCAGGGAGTATTTAACGAATACCTCTTTATTAACCTCACGTTCTCCTTGGCTTTCACCGATAAATAAAACTCAGGCTTCCTTAGAAAAAAGACCAGTCCTGCTCAAAGACAGCGTCAGGAGTCTGAGGCCCTGGCTCAGAGCACGTGGGACACACAGCTTCTCTTACGCGGAGGCCCTTTGGGGGCAGACCAAGTGTGCCCCCCAAGTTAGGGGTGGAATATGGTCACGAAACCGGAACCCAAACCCAGCTGTTTTCATCTTCAGGTGACAGTTCAACAGGTTCCAGAGACGCACATCAGGAGGGTGTCAAAGGTCCCCTGCCCTCCCAGCTGCTGGCTCAAGGTTGAGAAAGAGCAGAAGGCAGTCCTTCAAGAGGTGACGGAGAGCGACCCTCCTTGGCCGGCCCTCCGATCACGGCGGCAGACGACAAGGCTGACTTTTCTGCAAATGCAAGGACACCTGGATCCCTCACCCTCCCTTCTCTCCTTTGATGGCATCCGACCTCCATAACTGCATGACTACAGTAGAGATTCACAGTGCAACAACTTTCTTACTGGCTCACTTGTTTTTAATTCTGTCAGTGAGCAGCATCTCCCGGGTTTACCCCCCACAAACGCGTTCCTGGCAGCTCCATGAGGCGACATTGCAGGGTGCCCCGGTGCTTAGTCTGTGCAGCTCAGACGTCGGCGTGGCGCATGGAGGGGCGCATGGAGGGGCGCGAGGCTCGGTCTGTCCAGTGTCTTGCAGCAGCTGAGGCAGCCCTGCTACCAGCTAGCCCTGACAGCCTCGATATCACTAACCAAATTCTGGGCCAGGCAGATCCCGAAAATCTGTGGAAGGAAGGCAAGGGAGTCAAACGGTGAAGCTGACTTCATCAGCCTTTTCCTTGGCCACTGTGTTCCATTTTTTAAATTTTTTTATTTTAAAAAAAAAAAACTGAGATCTAATGCATATGTGGTAAAATGCATTCTTTTAAGATTTGATTCAGGGTTTTTACTGGGTTGTCAGAAACGTCAAGATGCATTTTTGCCTGGAAATAATATGCCATGACTTTTCCAAGAAGCCGATAGTATATGGACCAAGCCTTGCAACTATCATTACAATCTATTTACAGAACATTTTCATTGTCCTCCCCAAAACCCTGTCCCCATGAGTGGCAATTCCCATGACCCTGTCCTAAAGTCCTGGCAATCACAAATTTACCTGTGTCTCAATGCATTTCACTATTCGGGATGCTTCACATAAACAGAGTCCTGTAATAGGTGACCTTTGTGTCTCATGTTTGTCATGCAACAAATGCTTGCAAGGTTCACATTAGTCCATGGTTTTGATGATGGCTGAGGAACGCTCTATCCCAAGGATGTGCCCCCTTTTGTTTTGCCACTCATTGGTTGACGGATATCTGCCCTGTTCCCATTGTTTTGGCTATTATGAATAATGCTGCTATAAACGTTTGTGTATGTGTTTTAGGGGGAATATGTTCTGATGCTTATGCGGACATTGCTAGGAGTAGAACTGCTAGGTCGTGTGGGAACTCTGTGTTTAATTTCTCCTAAAGAGGCTGGGCCATTTTCATTCCCTCCAGCAATACAGGCAAGTTCATATTTCTACACTTGTTATTGCCTTGTTTAGTATAGACACCCTAATGGATGCGAGGTGTTATTTCATTGTGGTTTAGATTTGCATTTCCCTTAAGACTAAAGATGTTGGCATCTTTTAATGTGTTTGTTGCTTTTTAAAATTTTTGAGTAATGTCTATTGGATCCTCTGCCCATTTTTAATTTTTTTTATATTCACGATGAAGTGTGTACACAAATATGAGAGAGAGGGAGAGACAGAGAGAGAGAGAAAGAGGGAGTGTGTACCCACCATAGGTAGGGTCTGTCTTACTGTGAACCCTTTTCTCCAGCCTGTTGGATGCTGGGCACTTATACATGTGCCTTGTATGTTTTCAGGCTGAGTAGGCTGGGGATTCAAACCATGGTTACCACATGGGATCCAATTTCTCGTGAGCAGCACATCGGTGCTGTCCCACGGGGTTAGCCCCATGTCCATTTTTAAAATTAGGTTTGTCTTGTTATTGGGTTATAAAAGTTTTTCATATATTCTAGATATTCGATCTTTATATGACAACAACTTGAGAATATTTTCTCCCATTTTGTGGGTTATCTTTTCACTTTTTTGATGCTATAATTTTCAACATGGAAGTTTTTCATTTTGATGAAGTCTAATTTACTTACCTTTTTGGGGGTTGCCTGTGTTTTTAGTGTCATGTCTAGGAAAACATTGTCTAATTCAAAATCACAAAGATTTATACCAGCATTTTCTTCTAGAGTTTTATAGCTTTCAATTTTATATTTAGGTCTTTGATCAGTTTTGATTTTTTAATATATGGTGTGAAGTGGAGAGGGGATGTCTAACTTCATTCTCTTACATAGAGATATCTAGTTTTCCCAGCATCAATTCAAAAGTTGAGTGGCTTTAGTTCCCTTGTTTAAAATCAACTCACCATAGACATACGAATTTCTGGACTTTGAAAACTGAAATTCTATTTCACTGATCTCTACAGTCAGCCTTATTCCAGTGACACATTATCTTGATTATTGTCACTTTATGGTGAGTTTGGACCTGGGAAGTAGGAGGCTTCCAACTCTGTTCTTCATGTTTATTTTGGTTATTCTGGGTCTCTTGTGTTTCCATATAAATTTTAGAATCAACCTGTCTGTTTGTGTGAAAACTCTGACTGGAATCTTGATAGGGACTGCCTTGACTCTATAGATCAATTTGAGGACTATTGCTATCTTAACGATATTAAGTCTGACAATCTGTGAACACAAGATGTCTCTCCATTTACTTAGGTTTAAAAATGCATTTCAGCTAGGTGCCTCATTTGTGACCCTCCAAGGAAACTTATCACACAATAAAAAGGGCATGGGATCTCTGTGGCACTCCCAGAAGCCTTAGCCTGACCTCTGAGCTCTACTTCTGACTGTTGGTGTCTGCTCTAACTGTCCCAGCACAGTGTTCCTGAGCCCATGGAAATGACAGAATGCCAGCGGGCAACTACGACCCCAATTTCTCCATCCTGAACAGGAAAAAAGGTTTCCCAAAGTGGTTTCAGGACAGCAGCACCTAAAAGTTTTTTGTTTTTTTTTTTTTTGAGAGGCTTCTGCTATAGGACACGTGCACTCACCAGAAAGAAAGAGAGACAGAGAAAGACAGAAAGACAGAAAGCAAGAAACCACCAAAAGACAGAAAGCAAGAACCCACCACCACCACCACCACCACCACCACCCCAGGTGGATGGCCACGCCCAATCCCTTTTGCTCCATTTTCCTCTTGGGATCTTGGGCACATACACACAGCTGGTGTGAGTTTAAGCCACTGGGTCTGGGACTTGAACCGCAGTCGATTATGTGGGAGTCCAGCGATGTAGCCATCACACTATCTGCTGGTCCCTAAAAGTAGATTTTAATAAAACCAAAGCCAGGAGAGCAGGACATCCAGCCACTGAGCAGGAACCCTTAGTATCCCAAGTGACAAGAAGGAGAATTTAAAATGGGTGATGTTCAGAATGCCAAGATTTTTGTTCAGAAGTGTGTCCAGTGCCACATCGTGGAAAAGGGAGGCAAGCACAAGACTGGCCCAAATCTCCATGGTCTATATGGGCGGAAGACAGGTCAGGGCCCTGGATTCTCTTATACAGATGCCAACAAGAACAGAGGCATCACCCGGGGAGAGGGTACACTGATGGAGGATTTGGAGAATCTCAGGAAGTGCATCCCTGGAACAAAAATGGTCTTTGCTGGCATTAAAAAGAAGTAAGAAAGAGCAGAGTTGCTAGCTTATCTCAAAAAAGCTACGAATGGGGACTGACAGGTGGTGTGGTGATTAAGAGCTCTGGTCCCGCACATGGCTGACTATGGTTCGAGTCCCAGACCTAGTAGTGCTCTCTATCTCTGACTGTCTCTCCCTGGTCAAAATTGAGAAATAATGATAATAAATAAATAATTCTGTTTTTAAAAAGCTACTAATGAGCAATAGGTAGCCACTGCCTTATTTATGACGAAATAGAAATGTCTCACCTTTTTTATGTGTATGATACTTTAATTGATCTACACCAGAACTCAGATCATGAATGGCTGACAGGATATTTCTGCTGGACAGTCCTGATTTAAGTAAGACTGGCTTATGGTTAAATGAATATTGTTGGGTTTTAAAAATTTTATTAGTAATTTGGGAGGTGGCCACCAGCAGGTAGTGTGGTGGTTAAGGTGCTGGACACTCCCACATGGCCGACCATGGTTTGAGTCCCACACCTGGTGGCTTGCTTTCTAACTGTGTGTGTGTGTGTGTGTGTGTGTGTGTGTGTGTCTGGTAAAATTTAAAATAAAAGTAAATGAATAAATAAAATTAAATAAATAATTCTTTAAAATACATTAGTAATTTCAGTTCAGTAAATGTTATCCCTATTTGCCCTTTCTAAAGATATCATTGGTAATTCATTAGTAATGCTCATCTTTCTACAATGATGGTGAATGCCAACTCAAAACTTACTGGAGGTTGGTCTTTTATTTAGGTTTATATGTAACTGGTATAAATGAATATATAAATGCTGAAGAAATCCCTTCACTTCTTTTTTTTTTTTTTTGGAGAGGTTTTTTGCTATAGGGTGTGTGCGCTCGCCAGACAGACAGAGAGAGACATAGAGACAGAAAGCGAGAAATCACCCCCCAGGGGGGATGGTCACGCCACAATCCCTTCTCCTCCATTCTCCTCTTGGGATCTTGGGCACGCACGCACACGCGCCCGGCGTGAGTTTTAAGCCACCAGGTCCGGGATGTGAACTGCAGTCGACTACATGGGAGTCCAGAGACACAGCCATTCCGCTAACTGCTGGTTCCCTCCCTTCACTTCTCAAAACTAAGCAGATTCACCTGTGTTTTAATTTGTATTCATTAACCCACTAAAGGCCAGGGTTGAAGATAAGGTAGTGATGTCTACTTTAGGTATTTGGTCATAACTATGCCAATGTAATTCAAATTCCCTGTATTCAAACCACTGCCTTTTACTTACTAAAAGGCATTTTAGTGTGGTTTGTGACTGCTATCAAATAAAGAATACGTAACACTTTACATAGTTTATAAATGATTTATAAGGTCTGACGCTTTGAAAGTCAATGTGACAAGATTTAGTACCAAGTTAAATTTTATCTTTGAATTCTATTATCTAAGTCAGACTTAGTTATATTTCAGAATTGTCTTCAGGCAACTGTGCAAAACCACATAGAAATTGAAGAACTTCTGCATGTGTGTGATTGGCAATAGTGCTTTTGCCCATTTATTAGAAGGATTAAAGTAGAAGAGATATATACCATCAGCATAGATTTGTAAATTATGTCATCATAAGACTTAAGATCAATGATAAACCAGAGGACAGATCAAATAAAATAAAATCAAAGCCAGTGGCCAGCAGGTGGCGTGGTGGTTATGGTGCTGGACTCCCACATGGCCACCCACGTTTTGAGTCCCAGACCTCTCTCTTTCTCTATCTCTCTCTGTATGTCTCCAGTGAGCACACACGCCCTATAGCAAAAATCTCCCTAAGAAAATGAAAATAAAACCCGAGTCAGACAGTTCAGGTCTGTTCTCCAGCTCTCCAATGTGTCTTAAAAATTATGGTAGGGTGATTAAGCAAAGCTCCTGGGCTGGCAAGGGCTCTCCCAGGGCATCATTTTCCTGTGATATCCAAAAGGGCCTCTGCTTACCTGCAGCAACGCAATGCCTATGAAAATGCCGGCCACGATGGTTAAATTGTCCTGCAACCACTTCTCAAACTGAGGCACGCAGCCTTTCGTGTAGATTACAATCTGCTGGTCAACTTCCTTCACAAAGGGAGAAGAGACAGTCACAGATACACACCAGGCACAGGCCACACCTCCTCCAGACACCCTCCGTGCTAAGCACCAAACGAGACTCCACTTACGGGTTTTTGCCTGGCATCATAGCCACACTGAGTGTTGATAACATCTTCCTGGAGAAAAAAGAAAAGAGACGAGTGAAACTCACTCTTGTTAGATAGGAAGTCCACCCAGGACAAGCAGAGGGCCCCTGTGGAGTATCAGGAATGTGTATTTGGGCACACAGACCAGGTCGCCAGGCTAAACCCTTCTCCTGCATTATCCTATGTCATTAGCATGATAATCTTCCCAAGTAGGTATTAAAATATGCCTCATTTTACAAGTGAGGAAATCAGGTTCGGGGAACATCAGAAAGGACAGTGAGTCCATTAAGCAGGAGGCTCGAGATTCAAAGTGTTGCCAACCTCAAGAAACTCATTTATAATGTAGTTTGGGGAAGTGGAGACAAAGAAAAACCACAGCTACAGGGCAAAGGACAATTTTCATTAATTCTCTTTTAGGGAGAGTTAACGGGGACTTCTACTCTTTAAGCTACTGGGTTGTCATAAAAGTCATGACATAGTTTTTCTATGCAAAAATGTGTCATGACTTTTCCAACAACCTAATAGATACTTTCATATACTGTAAATGGTTTTTCAGTGAGAATACATCATCTTACTAAGTAAAAAACAAGCAACGCCCTGGCTACCTATCACACGGACAGCCTGACACCTCACAGGGCCGGATCAGAAACACACCCTCTGCTTTTTTGGGTTAGTTTGCTTTTCCCTCCTGTGCAGGGAGGCAGGTTGTGTTAGCTGAGACTTCATGGGATGCGGTATCTCCACCCAGAGGCTCTGTACGGGATGGGGGAGGGGGCGTAGTACCTTCCAAGAATCTTTGGGATTCTCCTTATGGACAGCTGTTCATGTAGGGTGGGAACTGGAGACAGGGTGGGGACACTTGGTATCTGCTGGCCGAGCCAAGGCTGTCTAGAGTGGGCCCTCGGGCTGAGCTGGGCATCCTGGCACCCTTCAGCCCTCCTCAGAAGACAGAGAAACGAGCCAGTGGGAAAGATCGGCTTGCTGCTAGATTCAGAGCCTGGCGCAGAGCCCTGGGTGATTCTTAGTCTCCTCCTTCTGACCAAGAGAACAACCCTGTCGACTGCCGGCCAGCAGCCCGCTAGGAAGTTCTGCTTTTCCATCCTCAGATCACAGCCTCTTTCAAAGAAGCCCACAGCCCCCCAGCCGCTGCAAGAGGAACATCACCGTGGAACACACAGGCACCCCTGGGCTCTGCCTGGGGTGCATTAGGGAATGAAAACTAAATGAAGAGTCCCGTGAGGGTGATGAGGAGCGAGCAGGGTGGGCATGGTGCACCCTCTCACACCTGGCTTCTACTCCATCCGGCTTTTCACTTAGAGTAAGGGAGTTGTATTCTACGTCATTCTGTATACCAGGCACATGATCTGACCCCAAATAGAATCTAACCTATGGAAAAACGGAATGGTACATATCTTATACATAATATGTATTAATTTATGTACATAATAACATACAAACTGCGATCATGGAGCTATTACGACACCAAGAGCAGCTGTGGCTTCCTATAAACCAGCCTAGCCTATCTGGTCTCTAACTCTCCTGCCACTTCTGATATTTCCCCCAGAACTCAGTCAGGAAGAAAAGGGTGACTAAGCCCAAACCAATGCAGGAAGCTCTCATACGAGCCTGCCACTCCCTGCAGGACCAACCCAGAATCGCCTGCTGCCAATCTGAGCTTGGGAAAGACACTTGCACTCCACATGCCTCCGTTTCTCCACCTGAAAATGGAGGGTAACAGAGGTATCTGCCGCTAGGAACGTCTCAGACTGATAAAGGCTTAGCGTAGGAACCAGCGTGTCCTGGTAAATTATCATCCGGGATTATTACTCCTACTGGGAAGAAGCGAGCACGGGGCGCCCCCTCCACAAGCTCCAATTAGGAATAACTGAGGCGGAAGAGGTTTGGAGGAGAAAATCAGTCTGCACGCACACACACACACACACACACACACCCGTGGCACACTCAGTGTGACGCTCAGGGCAGGCCAACCGCTCGCTGGCATCCACTTACCGCGGGGTCTTTAGTGCAGCAGGAGAAGGGCACGCCGCATCGCTCTCGACTTGCATTGGAATCTGTGCAATTGAAGTAAATATTTAGGTTCCAATCATCAGCTCCAAAAGCCCCACAGCACTGCCACTAGAGCAAACAGGAGAGAGTTAGGACTCCTCGACCTGCAGGCAGCCAGGCGCCTACACTCACGCCCGCCAGGACGACGCCCGCCCCTGCCAGCTCTGACCTTCTTTCTGTCACTGAATAGTCTGCACACGTCTGCACGCACACACACACACACACACACACACCCGTGGCACACTCAGTGTGACGCTCAGGGCAGGCCAACCGCTCGCTGGCATCCACTTACCGCGGGGTCTTTAGTGCAGCAGGAGAAGGGCACGCCGCATCGCTCTCGACTTGCATTGGAATCTGTGCAATTGAAGTAAATATTTAGGTTCCAATCATCAGCTCCAAAAGCCCCACAGCACTGCCACTAGAGCAAACAGGAGAGAGTTAGGACTCCTCGACCTGCAGGCAGCCAGGCGCCTACACTCACGCCCGCCAGGACGACGCCCGCCCCTGCCAGCTCTGACCTTCTTTCTGTCACTGAATGTATTCGTAAGCCAAATGGAACCTAAACAATCCCTGGGAAAGCTTTCTGAGTAACTAAGGCTGAAGCCTGTAAAGGTATGGGCTTGTGATTTAAACACTGGACGAGGCCCACAGCGTGGGGCAGGGGAAGGCTGAGGGGTTTACGGCAGGACTCAGAGGAGACCTGTTTGGCTTGGGAACATTCTAGAAGGATAAACAAGAACATTCTAGAAAGTGAAACAAGAACATTCTAGAAAGCAAAACACACTAATAATCATGGTAGTGTCTGGAGGAAGCCACTGGGGTTGGAGGTGAGCTACCTAGAGGCTTTATTTTCTAAAATGCTGATCTCTACATTTTATTGGTTTTGAGAAAAAATTTTATTGAGGGTATAACTGACATCCAATAAACTGCACATTTTAAAGTTTATTTTATGTATATACACACACATATATATAAGTTTATTTTATGTGTACATATGTTTATTTTATGTGTGTATATATATAAATATTTTATTTTACATATATATTGGGTTATATTATTGTATATATAAATATATATACCATCAATGTGATCAAGGTGAAACATAGCCATACTTTTCATCATATTTGTCTCTACTCTGAATTTAAAACAAGAGTGTGTCTTTAGATTTTCAACTTGCAAAGGGCTGTCATTTAAGTGCAATATAATGAAAGGAGCTGCTAAACCCAGTAGGTCTTCAGTAGAGCCTGGTTCGAGGGCTCCTCCAGCACCCCTGTTCTCACTCCCCTGAGAGAGACTCTCTCTAGTTCTAAGGTAAATAAAGACCATGCCTTCAGCATGTTCAGACTTTCAGGACCACCAATATCTATTTCAAAACATTAGACTCCACAGAAGAAAGATGGAATCACATAAAAGAACAGTATTCCCAAGCGCAGCAGACAGCTTTTGAAGAGCACCTGGACAGCCGTGTTCCTCGTGCCCATCTGCCCCTGATGGCCCTGGCTGAGCATCCAGAGTGTGCCTGGAATGCTCCGTCAGCTGGGTCGCACACACTAGGCAGGAACGACACCAGGGCAGGAGCGAGCGTGCATCCTAACAAAGTGAAGCCTGCCGAGGAGATGAAATGAGGCTTCATTTCATACCTGGGGTGTAGCCTACTCTGGGACAGCTACTGCTGTGACTGAACAAAACCAACCCAGCTCAGCTCCGTGCTGGGTGCCCACTGGGTAAGGGCTGGGGGTGCCTAGTGAGGCAGCTGCATCCTCACTTTACCAGAGGTGACCCCAGCTCCCTCTGAAAACTGTCCAACCCACGGCAGCCCGCGGGGCTCGCGTCCCACAATATACATCAATGCTGCAGACGCTGCTGTCTAGGACGGCCCAGTGACCCAACCGTTCCCTGCAGGCAGACACAGACCTGCCAGAGTGTAGACAGTCACACCTTAACCCTAAGGGGAAACCACAGAACCATGTGCAGCTCGCCGAGCATTACAAGATCCCTGTGACTTAGACAGTAGCTATTCTCATTTCCCTCTTACTAATAGGGAAATAGTTCAAGTCCTGTCAGCCCGAGGCCACTTAACAAGTCAGATATGGACACGAGCCTCATATCTTTGGGCCCTCGTGTGGACTGTTTTGCAGGGTGAGTGGCCAGGAATCTGCTGCTTCATTTACTCGGCTGGAGCCATCGCAGTCGCTCAGAGACCTCAGAGTGTGGGCGGGTTCTATGGACCCCTCACTAGCAGGAGCCACGAGGGCTGAGGAGTTTGCAAACTGTGGGTTTGACGTGCATACGCTGTAGTAACACTCAGATGGGCACGGTTTAGGAACTTTGCAGACAAAGTATGTTGCGTGTATTGTTATGAGCTGTGAAGTATGAGAGCTACCAAAAAGGAAGCAAGGAACAAGGAGGAGGCCATTTTTAACACCCAAAGAAAACTTTAGACCTCTATCCAAACATTCTTCAAATATGGATAAATGAGGACACTGTGATGCTAACCTTCTGCTCGAGAGTTTTCTTCTCTGTCCTTCTCATTTAAAAGAAACGGAAACAAGGGAAAAGTCATTCAGAGTACAAATCCTAGAAATCACAGAGTAAGTCATGAAATAATAAAAAAGCAGCAAACAAACACGAAATCAAGGAGAAAGGTCAGAGGTGGTTTCCGGCCGGCCCATGTGGAAGCCAGGAGGATTTGCTGGGGTCATTGTTCTGAGATGACTTTGAACTTGAAGACAAACCGAATTTAAACTTACATATTCCTGGGTGAAGTCTATGAGGTTTTGCAAATCAATGTCATCTCTGTAGGCTCTGATGTTGTTGTTTATAAAGAAATACAGCTGGTCTTTGATCCAGTCCTTGAAAACAAATGCCAGAACTCCGGCAGTGAGCTCCAAGAAGAAAATAATTCCCAGGAACACAGAAAACTAAGACAAAAGACACAGAGAACAATGGTGAGGACTACTATTTTGATCACGCACTTGTCCGGCTCAATGGTTCCTCTCTGACAGGGTTTGTAATTACGCTGAACTGTTACCCATCTCCAAAGCAGATACTCTTCAGTTTCTCAAGATTTGCTAATAGAACATTACACTCCAAGAAAAGGTTTTGAAAAATTAAAAATCATTTCATAATCACATTTTAGGGTCTCTGGTGTTCCATTTGGTAATTAACCAACAAAGCCCCTAAGCAAACAGGGATAATAGGACTTTCTCATTAGGCCACATGAAGGCCTAATGAATTTCTCGTGATTAATGTGCTGCCAGACGCTCGAACAATGACCTGCCCCTACATCTAGTAAGCTCTTGGAACTTGAAAGATAAATTAGCCCAATATTTTCAGATCGCTTGCCATTTGTTCCTGTGGCCTTGGCTCTGCTGGCAACATACTCTTCTTACGAATGCAGTTTTGGGATTCCCCTTTGCACCTGCCAAACAGGGCAAAATAACAGATGTGTTCATCTCAGATGAAGAGGAGGAAAGAAGGTGGGGACACTGTGACATGAAAATAACTTCCCATCATGAAAACAAAGGGGAGCCCCAAGTGGAGGGCCTCCTCGGGATGCTAGCTATGCTCACCTGCCTATGGGAGGAACCGGGGCCAGGAAATGCACACAAGCACATGGAGCCCCAGGGAGACTGCCGGCTAACGTAGATGGCAACAGTTCAGAAAGGAGACCCGGTGCCCTCGGCCCTGTGCAAACTGCCCGTAACTCCGGGGGAATTTCTCTCCCACCTGGGACACTCAGAAGAGCCCCGTCTTAGTCATACTGACTCGCCATGCACACCCACGGTTCTTTCCACCTCCTACCACCCCCACGTTTTTACCCAGCACAAACTTTTTCACTACAGTGAATTATGAGAAACGGGGCAGAGGATGCACTACAAGCAAATTGTTCCTGTGACAATGGCAGAGATAGTGACATTGGGGCCACCAGCCAGAAGAGGTCCTGAAGACTGCAGGACCATGAGTGGCAGAGGGCACTTGATCAACCTGTGGTTTCTATACTGAGCAAGCCAACATCAGCAGCCAGCCAAGAAAAAGACACTGGGGAGGGGATCGAAGAAATAACACGCTTCCTGTGATAAAGACAGACAGACAAAACGGATTTATGCACTCAGCGAACATCCCCTGAATGATCCCCGGGGGGTCAGGCCTGGTGGTAGGTGGGCTCTGAGTAAACAAGAATGAGTAAAACCTTATCCCTGCCTCAGTCGTACATGATTTGGGGAGTAGGGGGGTGTAGGAGGGGATGATTTCACATCAAATGTCAGCGTATGTGACAGGGTTTATTGGGGTGTCAAGTGACACTCTGAGAAAGTGAGCATGGCCGGAAGGGCAGAAATCAGTGCTGGCATAGTCTAGGGCCCCAGCACGGAGGCCCCGTTTCTAGATGTGTCAGCTTGGCCCTTTTAGGTTTCTGCAGAGTTCCTGGTTATCTGTCCTTGATGACTTGATGAGAGACTGAATTCAAACAGATTTTAATTGTCATCCATGACACCAATCATTTTGATTTAAGCCTAACTCAATCTAGAAAGAAAAGGGCAAGAAAAAGAAATCCTACCATTTCCCCTGATAGCTACGAAACAACTCCCGCTCATTAGGTACCGCTCTACCCCGAGCACCACGGGGATGACAGGATCACAGCTCGCTGGCCTGAGTGCGCACTCAGAGGCGGTCTCGTCTCCACCGAGGCGGTGGTGCACTTTCTAGTTCCCTGATGCATTTTTCCATCATTTACGTTATACACATTACCAAGGACTGAGTCCGGACCAGCGGAGGGCATGGGGGGTACGGCACTGGACTCCCACATGGCCGACCGTGGTTAGAGTCCCAGACCTGGCGTCTTGCTTTCTCACTTTCCCTCTTCCTTCTGTGTCCCTCTCTGGTCAAAATAAAATAATAATAAATAAAATAAATAATTCTTTTTTAAAAAAAGAATTGAGTCCAAATTCAATTCACATCTAATACTGGATATGGCAGAAATCTTTCACATTCCAGACACTGACTCATTGACGGGGCCATGCAGGCAACACAAGCTGGTAAGGATGCTGCCTCCCA